GAGCCCCATAGCCATCTCAATACCGGATTAGGAAATCCATCGGCATCTTCTTCACTGAGAGGTGAGCCAGCCATCTTCATACCTGATTAGGAAATCCGGCGGCATCTTCTTCTTCACTCAGAGCTGAGGTTGCCTTATGCGATCGCTGCCTGCTTTGTCTAGCGGTGTGGTATCCGTGTGCTAATTACATCGGGATACCGATCCGATCTATCGTACTTTAAATGACACGGCTTCACATTATCAGCTAATTAGTCGTGGGAGGTGTGCCACATCCAGTACATATGTCGTCATCATAGAGTAGTGCTTGGTGAACAGTAGGGAGAGAGGGGAGAAGAGGACGTATATATATACAAATATATATATATATATATATATACACACATATATATGCGAGGCCACTGCCTCTAAGAGCCCCATTAGGCCCCATTTTGCAGCCCGTTGGCCGCCCTAAGTGAAGGCAGGCTCGACGAGGCCCTAGGGCCCTTTTTCTGGCCACCACGCAACTAAAGGAAATTCAGGCAGTTGCGCAGAGCCAGTTGGTTGAGTGCAACCAGGCCCTGGGCCGCCTGTGTGAATGTACGTGAAGCAGGCCCTGGGCTGGATACCAATACCGGGCCTAACACAGGCCGAAAGCAGTTGCGCACATGCAACCACTTAAGGCCCAAGGACTGCTTTCCTCGTGACTGGGCCTCAGCCTACCGGGGCCTACTGGAAGCTTCCTGGACTGGACGCAGGCAGGCCACTTCGATATAGGGAAGGGCCTGCCTCCTCATTGGGCATTCGGGTGCTGGCTGCATGCTGCGCAAGCGCTGCTGCGCTATTTGCTGGCTGGGGCCTACGCTCTCAGGGAAGGAGCACGCAGCCAGAGCCGAGCTGCGCTGCTGTATGCTGGGTGAAGCGCAGGGTGGTCCTTGGGTGCTAGTGGCATCTGTGAGTTGAAGAACGAGGTTGTGAGGGTAGCGCCAGACATACCTGGTGCTGAAGCGTGCGACATTGGTCGCCATATGCTCGTACTTCGGGAACGCTGTTGATGTCATCTTTAGGCTTCGTAGTATAGGCTAGATAGGATCTGCCACATGTAGTCTGGGCGCCGAGCTCCAATAGGATATCAACTCTGGTTCTTCGTTGATGATGATGGGACTACTTCAGCATTGTCAATTATGAACTCTTGGTGTGTTCTTATTCGGTGTATCTCGTGATGCAATTCTGCTGTTGGTTCGAGGTCAAGACTATCTGGACTCATATGTATGATGCTGTTTGATTGCCGGAGCTCGCTATTACTCATCTTCCTTGCATATATATATACATATACACACATATATATATACTCCGACGAAACAGTTTGTCACAGCCCCTCGTTTGTTGTCCTCTTCTCTCTCTCTGCCTACGGTTTTACCGGGCAGTTCTGTTTGTGACGATATATACACGCATACACACACATATATATATATATATACACACACATACATATACACACATACTATATATATACACACATATATATACTTATATATAGCTAATTAATAACGGGTCGGCAATATCCAGGGTGTCAAGATGATGCAAGCGGCTGTTGAGGCGAAGGAGGCTGCCGTGCGGGAGGTGGCCAAGCTGCTTACGCTACCGGAGGACTTGGGGAATATCCCCGCTCTGCGCAGCGAATTCGCTCAACGACAACAGGTAAGAGGGGAGGAAGAAAAAGGGTGTTGTGGCACGTGCAAAGCAATCTCGGGATTGTCGAAGACGAAGAAGAAGAAGCAGAAAAAGATGAAGAATAGTGAAAACTTGGCCAGCTGCCCCTCGTATACGCATCTCAAATTGTTCAACAATAACCCCTCGCATACATGTCTCAACGAAGAAGAACAATAAGAACAGCTAGAAGCACAGAGGGGAGTAGTTGGGGGTGACACGTTGTAGGAGGCTGGGATCGGACTCGGAGGGGATTGAAGAAGAAGAAGAAGAAGAAAAAGAAGAAGAAGAAGAAGAAGAAGAAGAAGAAGAATTTGTTTTGAATCTTTCGTTTCACGTGTCGATCCCAAGAATCGAACACACGCCCTCCCGGTCAGGAGGCAAACACTCAACCAAACGGCTAAGTGGACTGGGGTGAAGAAGAAGAAGGAGGAGGAGGAGGAGGAGGAAAGAAATAGAAAGGGAGAAGGATGTTATGGCACGTGGAAAGCGTCTCGGGATCGAGGGAGGAGGAGGAGGAGGAGGAGGAGGAGGAGACGACGACGACGATGAAGAAGAAGATGAAGAAGAAGGAGGAGGAGGAGGAGGAGGAGGAGACGACGACGCTGATGAAGAAGAAGATGAAGTAGTAGTAGTAGGAGGAGGAGAAGGAGAAGGAGAAGACGACGATGAAGAAGAAAAAGGAGGAGGAGGACAAGAAGAAGAAAAAGATGGTTTGAGCTGGGCTGGGCAAAATGCAGCAGATTGGTGAGGAAAAAGAAACAAAAATATAATGCAGATACTTAGTTTGGGCGGAGCATTCGGCTGAAGTTCGGCGTATATATGTATATTTGCTCCAATGGTCACCAGATCGATTCCCAGAAATTCCACTACCGTCTTCACGCGAATAGAACGCCCGGTCATTATATCTGTATCCAGGGCAACTTTCAGTCCAGATGCAGCTAGAATGACTGGGCATTCCATTCGGGTGAAGAAGGTAGCTGTTGAATTTGGGAGAAATAACTCAAGACTGATGTCGACCGCTGACACTGAAGTGTCGTCAGTTTCATGTTTTCACTCGGTTGTCGTGTTTTCACTCAGTTGTCGTGTTTTCACTCTGTGGTTTCCACGTTCTGTATGTAGATGCACAAACACTTTGATAAAGGATCCGCAAAGAACCACCTCCCGGCCCTTCAGCACCTCCCTGCAATTTCCTCCCCCCCTTTCTCTCCTCCTCCCAGTAAAAAAACCCCTCCTCCCAGGGGAAAAAAAAAGAAAAAAGAATAAATAATTGTCCAGCTGATGTTTCATAAAGCCCTGCTGCGTTCGTTGGATGAATGAGTGTGCGTAGAATCGGGGGTCATCTCATAGGGGGCCTAGTTGCACCAGGCGCCATTTGCCAAAATTCTGAATGAATCTGAACAGTCAGCCTGTCCTGATGCATTCAAAATGTTAGCGGATGGCGAGTAGAATGCATAGGGGCTCGGGAATTATCTGGCTATGGTGAATGCAAAAGTGGCTGAGATGGAGAGCCCTCAGAATGAGATAACGTCGACAGCGATTTGAATACGAACTGACAAGCCTTCATCTAACCCATCACGATTTCTGTTCTTGACAATGATCCCAAAAAAAGAGAAAAGAAAGAGAGAGAGAGAGAGAGAGAGAGAGAGAGAGAGAGAGAGAGAGAGAGAGAGAGAGAGAGAGAGAGAGAGAGAGAGAGAGAGGAAGGGAATCAGATCGATGCCGATGATCACGTTGCGGACGATGATGACAACGATGGTCAATCGCGCTTGAGATGGGGGCACAGATGATGAATGGAACGATGATGCTTAAAGCGAGCATGACGACGGTTGTGAAGAGACCTAAATATATAGCTATTCGCCCCTCCCCCCCCTCTCCTTCTTTCTCTTTTCTTTGTTGCACTGTGAAGTGGGCCCAACCATTAACTTTATCGTCGGGGCAGTTTCGTCGGAGCTTAACCCTATTACACTTTTTTTTGCACGCGTCGAGAGGTTTTGAACTGTCGAGTTCTTTGTCAAGAAGAGAAGATGATGTGCTGGTACTCTTGTGAAGAAGAGAAGATGTGCCCAGAGATGTCTTTCAGCGAACGGTCTATATACTGTGGTTTGTCTCTCGCATTCACGAAGCGGGATGAAATGATGACGATGAGGGGGATGGAAGGTAAAAAGAATGTTGATGACGATGAGGGGGATGGAAGGTAAAAAAAATGTTGACAGCAGCGGAGGTGATGGTGATGGTGATGGTGATTGGAAGCTCGGAACGGAGACGGTGGGGGAGGTAATGATGGGAAGATGATGCAGGTGGTAACGGAGATGGTGGTGGAGGTGGTGATGGACGATGAGGATAGAAGATGGACCTGATGATGGAAGATGATGATGGAGATGATGATGGAGATGATGATGGAAGATGATGATGATGATAGAAGATGACGATGGAGAATATGATGATGGAAGATGATGATGATGATGATGATAGAAGATGATGATGATAGAAGATGATGATGATAGAAGATGATGATGGAAGATGATGATGATGATGATGATGATTGAAGATGATGGAGATGATGAGGGATGACGATGATGATGGCATGCCGATCATGCAGATTGGTGATGTCATGGAAGATGATGGTGGAAGATAGAGATGATGATGGAAGATGATGATGGAAGATAGAGATGATGATGGAAGATGATGATGGAGATGATGTGACGAAGATGACGAGGGATGGCGATGGTGATGGGATGCCGATTATGCAGATTGGTGATGAGATGGAGATGATGTAAATGGAGGTGATGATGGAAGATGATGACGGAGATGATGAATGGAAGATGGAGATGGATATATGATGTAACGAAGATGATGAGGGATGGCGATGGTGATGAGATGGCGATTATAAAGATCGGTCATGACACGATGATAACGATGAAGATGAAGACGCCTGATAGGCTGTACTACCACCACGGAACCAAAAAAAAAAAAAAAAAGAGAACAGAACAGGATATGGTGGATCTGACGTGGACACAGAGAAATGACCTTCATCATCATTATGATCATCATCAATCATCATCATTGTCCACTGATCTGCCTTATAGCAGATGATGACTGGTGAAGGTAATAGGATATGTTGATTGGAAGGTAATCGGCAGATCAGTGGAAGATGATGATGATGATGATGATGATGATGATGATGATGATAATGATGATGATGATCATCGTAATGATGATGAAGATGATTTCTGTGTCCACGTCAGATCCAGCTTTCCATCGAAAAAAAATAATGAAGTTTTAATGACCATCTTTGAATCACGGTGATAATGATGATCCAGATGAAGAAGGCCTTTTGCCCACCCAATAAGCAATCCCACCTCATCGTCTTCACGAAAATATGATTTTCTATGTGTGCACTCCAGAGCCAGCTTTCCATGGATGACGATGATTGCAACGAAGTTATTACTACATGTCTATCTTGGAATCATCTTCATCTCTCTTTGAATCCCGATGGTAAGGATGATCAATATGAAGGCCTTTTGCCCAATAAGCAAGCCCACCTAACCTCAATCGTCGTCCTGTCCTTCATGATCACGATGATAATGATGATAATGATTGATGATGATGATGATCACGATGATAATGATGATAATGATTGATGATGATGATGATCACGATGATAATGAAGTATCAGCAGGGTTACTTCTTATCAGCTTCGGGCGACGACGGCAAAGAGCATAGCCATCGTCACAAGATGGCTTCGGGCCACAGGAGTGAGGCCCGGAGCTATCGTCCTCTCCCTGACGAATCTCTATATTTCCTTTACTCGCAGAGACAGACACCTGTCGAGAGATGATAATGAGCATGATATCATGGAGGAGGAGGAGGAGGAGGAGCAGGGATCATGGTTATCACATCATGGAGGAGGAGGAGGAGGAGGAGGAGGAGGAGGAGGAGGAGGAGGAGGAGGGATCACATTGTCAGAATCATGATCTGGTGAGACGTAAAGTTCTGGTGATACGGAAAGCTGTTGAGGGAGACAGCTGTTGAGGTAGATATAAGTGTTAAGGCATTATAGTATTATGGAACGTAAGAAGGCCTTTTGCCCCCAATAAGCAAGCCCACCATCGTAATTCTTTTGCCCAATCATGGTCAGAAGCATCATCGACAGATATCTTTTGAGATAGATAATTGCTAAGACAGATGCCTTTTGAGAAAGACGACGACGACGACGACGACGACGACGAAGAAGAAGAAGAAGAAGAAAAGAGAGGAGGAGGAGGAGGAGGAGGAGGGTGGAAGAAGAAGAAGAAGAAATAGGAGGAGGAGGAGGAGGAGGGTGGTGATGGTGGTGATGGTTACGGTTCGGTTGTGATGATGATCATGATGGTGATAAATGTGTCATGAGCAATTATTACGTATGATCAATATCTTGATGTGGTGATGATGATGATGAGATTGTGATCATTATTAGGCTGATGACGGTGATGATAATGATTGATGATGATGAAGAAGGAGAAAGAATGATCGCGATGATGGCGATGATGATGAGGATGGTTATTAGTTTTATGATGATGATGATGATGATGATGATGATGATGATGATGATGGGTGACGGTTAATATTGCCGATGGATGATTGGGATACACGACCGCACTGCTACCGGCTTCCCTCGAACACAACGCACCCTCATTTCGGCTGTACCTGACCGGAAATATAGCTTGTATTCATTCATTATCAGGGCGCATTATGTTCGGGGTAAGACGGTAGCGGTGGTTGTAGCGCTTGTATACATTCATTATCAGGGCGCATTATGTTCGGGGTAAGACGGTAGCGGTGGTTGATACTCAAAAACAACAAATTCGAAGAGAAGGAGAAATCGGAAGGAGATATCCCCACCGAGCAAATGTGTTGTATGGGCGACACGAGCGGGATACCGACTTATGGAAAGCAGTTCAAAGCCCATCGAACCTCCCAGGAAGCCCGGGTATCCCATCGGTATCCCGGTCGCGATGCCGAGAGTGATGACGATGACAATGGCAGGAAGAAGAAGAAGAAGAAAAAGAAGAAGAAGAAGAAGAAGAAGAAGAGGATGATGATTATGAGGGAAAGAAGAAGAAGAAGAAGAAGAGGATGAGGATTATGAGGGAAAGAAGAAGAAGAAGAAGAGGATGATGATTATGAGGGAAAGAAGAAGAAGAAGAGATGGTGATGATGATGATGACGATGGTGATGAAGAGGAGGAGGAGGAGGAGGAGGAGGAGGAGGCGGAAGAGGAAGAAAATGGTGATGATGATTGATGGGAGGAGGAGGCGGAGCAGGAGGCCTAGGCTTGAGCTTGGTGATCATTGCGGATTACCATCGTGGCTTGGCCGCCTCCTTTCTCCTCCTCATCTTCGTCGTGGCGGTGAAGAGTGGGCAAAGAGGAAAAGAGCTGCACTTTGTGCATTTGAGTCTCTGCACTTTCCTCGCATTTCCTTGTCTGTATTTCTCTACGAGGTCATGGAATCCAACCCCAATGGGCGTTTTGGAATTGCAATATCCGTAACCCCTTCGCATCGAGTGGCTTGGGGCCAGTTTTGCAGTTTTTCTCATTTTTTTTTCTGCATTTCTCTTCTTTTTCCAGCATTTCCCCTCCATTTCCCCTCCATGTTCCCTCCATTTCCCCTCCATGTTCCCCCCATTTCCCCTCCATGTTCCCTCCATTTCCCCTCCATCTTCCCTCCATCTTCCCTCCATTTTCCCTCCATTTTCCCTGTATTTTCACCTCCATTTTCCCTCCATTTTCCCTGTATTTTCACCTCCATTTTCCCTCCATTTTCCCTGTATTTTCACCTCCATGACAGCTTAATTCTCTCTTCATTTCGGATGTAAGGAGGAGAGAACGAGTTTTACCTTCGATGAAAAACGAGCCAGAGTGGTAGGAAGACAGAGAGAAGGTTGGGGGAGGGGGGGGGAAGGGGGGCAGACTACATATGTCCCTGCTTCACTCCTAGATCCTCTAGATCTAAGGGACTACTTACCTGTTTGCCCCTTCAGGACCGAGAGAGATGGTTATAAGGAAGAAGATAAAAAACATTTTTTTGATTTTTTTTTGAATTTTTTCCTTTTTTTCGCTTTTGCGCTCTGATATTCTTGTGACAATATATATCGTCATATATATTAAGAATATTATGTATATTATATTTATATTGTCAAACAGAACTACCCAGTAAACCGTAGGCAGAGAGGGAGAAGTGGACAACCAACGAGGGGCGATGACAGACTGTTTCGTTGGAGTTTCACTGACTCTTTGAAGGTGGGGCAGTTGTTGATGCTCAACCGCAACTGGGGTTAAGGTGGATTTGTGTCAGGTGGATTTGTGTCAGGGGGACTCTGCAGACTGGAGAGGGGTTCAGCTTCCTGATGAGTCGATGAAACTCGGACGAAATAGGCAGTCACAGCCCCTCGTCTTTTGTCCTTGTCCTCCTTTCTGCCTACCGCTCACCTGGTCAGTTCTCGGAGACTAAACATTAATTCTATAGTCACAGCTCTCTGTGACTATACGACTGTACATAAATTGTATATTGTCACAGCCCTCGTTTGTTGTCCTCTTCTCCCTCTCTGCCTACGGTTTACCGGGCAGCTCTGTTTGACGATATATGGATATATGTAGTTTGGTGATAAATGTGTCAAACAAACTAATTAGTGATGTGTAATGTGTTTGCAGGCCAATGATGCACAGCTGTCTGCGTCAGTGATGTCACAGGTGAGTGTGTGCCTTTTTTTTTTCTTTTTATTTTTTGGTGCCTTTTTTTGTGAAGGACGACCTGTGGTTCAATTGAAAGCGAAAGGAAAAAGATGCAGTAGTTGTGCGTGTAATTTTATTTGGATCGAAAAAATGGGTTCATTGCACGTATCCACCTTTCATCACCAGGGATCTCTTAGATCAATGAATGCGTGACAGGTATTCAGGACCTTTGCGAATAACAATTGATTATCGTATTCCAAGAAGTCCCAAAATGATATCAGTCAGGTCAGGATGGAGATCGGGATCATGTTTTATCCCGGGCAATGGGGTGGGAGAGGTCCAGGCGAGGGAGGCGACCTTGCTTGACACAGGTGCTACGTCGATAAGGGCAGGTACTACACAGGTGCTACGTTGATAAGGGCCTGCCTGGTCCTAGAGATGAAGAAACCAGGCCCTTATCTATCAGAGATGGTGGGTCTATGACTGTTCCAGACTGTCATGAAATTAATCTGCTTCTTCTGGACCAGGAGATAACAAATCTCGTTCACCCTTTTTTGCTTTTTCTTCTTCTTCCTCCTTCCTCCTCCTTCCTCCTCCTTTCTTCTTCTTTTCATTTCTTCTTCTTTTCCTTCTTCTTCTTCTTTGTAATTATATTCTTTTCCTCTTCTTCTGTGTCGCAATTCTTCTTCTTCTTCTTCTTCTTCTCTTTCTTCTTCTTCTTCTTCTTCTTCTTCTTCTTCTTGTCATTACCAATGGAGATGATGCTGATAAAGAGGATGGTAATTACAGCGAATATAATGAC